AACGTGTAATAGTTCCATGATTAGGAATATAATATACAAAAGGGTTAGGAACTCAATACTCAAGACTTAGAACTTGAAGATACTACTCGTCTCAAAGATGCTCAAATTATGAAGTTCATGCGGAATTATGGGCATGAACGACTCGACTCGAGGGTCTACATAACAATATGGAACACGTGTATACGACTCTTCTCATTCTCATACTTACTTCCTCAAATCTTAGCTCAAATCGATAGTTGATCTCAAAGGATTCACAATTGAACTCAAATATTTTTTTGGACTCTACTCTTAACTCTCTCTTGAATTTGAATTATGAATTCAAGAGTTATGGTTCATGATATGAAAGATCTCGTGATGATAATTCAGGCTCATGAATACATTCTCCTCATTCTCACACTCACTTGCTCGAGTCTTGAAACAAATTATTAGAAGTTGTAGAAGACTCCTCAAAAAGACTCAAAGGGACTTTCTCAAAATGTTCGAAAGAACTTTCAAGACTTAACTCTTAACTCTACCTTGAATTTGAATTATGAGTTAAAGGTTTTGATTCATGTTATGAATGATTTCTAGATGTTTAGAAGTAGTTTAGAATCGATAGGGATTGAAGGAACCCTTTTAAAAACCTCAGACGGGAAAAACGACGGAAAAGCCCTAGCGCACTGAGTGGCGTAGGGCGCCAGCCCTCTACCTATAGAGGTGTGGTTGGGGTGCACTGGCTGGCGCAGGGCGCCAGGTCCCAACCCAAAAACCCCGACGACTTTTCTTGCTCGTTTTTCGACCTTAACTCTCCTAGAATCGAATGATTTCTTCCCCAATCACTTAGCTTTGAATACCCAAACTAAGTACACACTAATCTACCAAATAAAAAACTCTCAAATCACTAACTTTCATCTCAAGAATTCATCAAAATCCCAACAAAATAAGATTTATAAAGAATCTTCAAGAATACTTATCGAGAACTCAAACTCTTCAATTTCAAGAACGAAACTTCGCTGAAAATAACATGATTGGCGTGTGGGTGAATGAACCCAACACTATGAGAACTTACATACCTCTTAGGGATCAACCCTTTGGCGAAACTCCGCAAGAAAACTCAAGAATCTCGACAAACACCTTGAACCTTCCCTCTTTTCTCCTTTTTTCTCTTCTTGAACTCTCTTCTAAAACACTAAGCGTAACGAATTAAATCTGATTGGGTAAGGAAAAGACCAATATACCTCTCATATTTTCGGCTAACTTTCTTTAACTGGGCAGCCTGATTTCAAACGAGTATATCTCCCTCATACGAGCTTGCAATTTAGCAAACTCGGTGGCGTTGGAAAGAGGACTTAGAGATCTTTCATTTGATATCTTATGGGTCTCCTAACTCATCCTGTGATAAACGTTATGGTCGTTTGAAGTTGACCCAAAACTTAAAGGAACCCAGGAATGACTTGAATGAATTCTCTCTAGTTTTTTTTGGAACACAATGTGCTACATCTAGTGACCTTAACACTTACGAAAATTTTAAATACCTTGGTAAAAACTTTCTCACTACGAAGGATGGTTCAAGTCTTAGCTCAAATTTTTTTTGGGGTGTTACAAATACAATGCCTTAGGGTGGTATATGTTGTGATGCATTCATTATCATTCAACATATAACTGTTCACGGGAATATGAGAAATCAGAGAAATACTATTTTTGAGAAAGAAAATGAGACACCTTACATTTATTCTTGACCATGAGCTAGGTGGCAAGTTGATGAGATATTGAGATTGGTATATGGACTGCGAGTCCCCCATGGGTCTCTGTCTAGAAGCTAAACCTCGGCAAGGTGTATACAACAGGTTGTGCGACAACCTTAATTCCACGACATCATTTCATCATCTCATTGCTTTGCATTGACCAATTTTGTTGTGTTGTGTAACTTTCTTATCTATTGATATGAATTTTAACTATAACCTTATGTGTTTACCTTGTTCACAACATTACTAAATAAATTGGCGGAAGTGTTTTATATATGCAGGTGGAAGTGTTTCATAGTTTATTTCTTAAGTCTGATTAGTTGCTTATACTCATGTAACATCCGGCAATTTGAAATAGCTAAGAAGAGGCTTAGAATTTGAAAATTTTCAATTTTTGGAAAGGATTTGAAAATCTAGAAAATTTGGCTAAGTATGGAAATCAGTGATTTTTGGCCAACTTTGAGCAGTCATAACTTCTAGCTCAGGGTGAGTTAAGAGTAGTTCCAGTTATGGTTGCGAATCTTGTGGAATGATCTTTCCAACGCCACCAAGTTTGCTCAATTCCGAGTTCGTATGAGCGAGTTATGGCCTTTGAAAGTTGGGCAGTTGACAAGGAAATCCGTCCGGGAATCATTAAGGGCATTTTGGTCTTTTCCCTAGCCATTTCTTTTGGAGTTATATTGTTGTGTTAGGCTTATTTTGGATCATTTTTAGTGTATGGATTGAAACTTTGTGTTGGGAGGGTTTAGAGTTGGAGAAAAGGGAGGATCCCAAAAAATAATAATAGTCAGTTTCTCAGAAGAAATCGACGGACTGAAGGTAC